TTCCGGTCAAGGGCATGTACCTTGGTTGCGGGCATGTCCCCAGTGGGGGGTGTGCAGGAGGCAGCTGATCGATGACTCTCTCATCGATATTTCTAACTCTCTATCTCTCTCCCTTCCTCTCTGTACAAAATCAATAAAATATATTTAAAAAAAAAAAAAAAAGGAAATATTGGCCTTAAATAAAACACTAGACCAAATGGACATAACATTTATAGAACCTTTCATCACAGAGCATCAGATTGTACATTTTCCCCCAGTGCATAGCATTCTCAAAGATTAACCATATATTGGGTCATAAAACTAGCATCAACAAATTGAAGAAGATTAAAAGTTTACCAAGCATGTTCTCTGACCACGCTTTGAAATTAGAAATCAAATGCAAAAATGAAGTAAAGAAACCCACAAATACATGCAGATTAAACAACATACTACTAAAAAATGACTGGGTTAAAGAAATAAAAGTTGAGATCAAAAGATACAGAGACTCTAGCCAGTTTGGCTCAGTGGATCGAGTGTCAGCATGCAGACCAGAGAGCCCCGATTCCAGTCAAGGATGGGGACACACTTGGGTTACAGGCTCCTCCCCAGATCAGGAGGGCTCATGCAAGAGGCAACCAATCGATGTGTTTCTCTCACATTGATATTTCTGCCTTTCCCTTTTACTCTTCCACTCTATTAAAAAAAAAAAAAAAAAAAAAAAATCAATGGAAAAATATCCCTGTGGAAGAGTAAAACAAATACAAAACAAATGCCCTAACTGGTTTGGCTCAGTGGATAAGAGCATTGGCCTGCAGAGTGAAAGGTCCCAGGTTCGATTCTGGTCAAGGGCATGTACCTTGGTTGTGGGCGCATACCCAGTGGGGAGTGTGCGGGAGGCAGTGATCAATGTTTCTCTCTCATCAATGTTTCTAACTCTCTAACCTTCTCCCTTCCTCTCTGTAAAAAATCAATAAAATATATTAAAAACAAAAACTCCCAAAAAACAAAAGTCCAGAACCAGATGGCTTCACCAGTGAATTCTACCAGACATTCAAAGATTTAAAACTATCCTTCTCAAAGCCTGAAAAAGATAACACACACAAAAAAAACTTCAGACCAGTATCTCCGATTAATACAGATGTAAAAAACCTAAACAAAACACTAGCAAATTGAATACAACAGTACATTCAAAAAATAATGCATCACCATCAAGTGGGGTTCATTCAGAGGCACAAGAATGGTTCAATGTACATGAGATGTAAGGAAAAGCGGAGTCAAAATACTCCAAGGATTTTGAATTTAGGTTCAAACAGAAGTCGAGCTGCCATCTGCAGACGGGAGGATGGTGGGAAGAGCAAGTTGAAGGATGAGATCTGTTTCAGGTCACATCTCCAATTCTTGATGATCTGGAGCTCAGGAGACCGGCCTAGAGATGTTAATAGTTAAAATACAGCCGAAACCGGTTTGGCCCAATGGATAGAGCGTTGGCCTGCGGACTCAAGGGTCCCAGGATTGATTCCGGTCAAGGGCATGTACCATTGATGAGAGAGTAACATCGATCAGCTGCCTCCTGCACACCCCCTTGTCTCCTTTACAGCTTAAAAAAATGCTATGTGCTGTATCTTTAAAGTTTATTCAAAAGCCTGAATTCGCTTTTGGCCTGGCTTCTAAGACACCATCCTCTCCTACCTCACTGGCTGCTCCTCATCTTGCTGCCACTGGGGGTGTGCAGGAGGCAGCTGATCGATGTTACTCTTTCATCGATGTTTCTAACTTTCTATCCCTCTCCCTTCCTCTCTGTAAAAAAATCAATAAAACATATTATTAAAAAAATAGTTAAGCCGAAACCGGTGTGGCTCAGTGGTAGAGCATCGGTCTGCGGACTGAAAGGTCCCGGGTTCAATTCCGGTCAGGGGCATGTACATTGGTTGTGGGCACATCCCCGATAGGGGGTGTGCAAGAGGCAGCTGGTCGATGTTTCTCTCTCATTGACACTTCTCTCTATCTCTTTCCCTTCCTCCCTATAAGAAATCAATAAAATATATTTTTTTAAAAATAGTTAAAATACAACTTGATACTTTAAATTGAGAAACTGCCCATAGCTGACTTGGCAGAGAGAACCAAGGGCAGCAAGATGAGGAGCAGCCAGTGAGGTAGGAAAGAATGGTGTCTTATAAGCCAGGCCAAAAGCGAATCCAGGCTTTTGAATAAACTTTAAAGATACAGCACATAGCATTTTTTAAGCTGTAAAGGAGACAAGGGTAAAACCCAAATACAATTCTGGGGCCTGAAATGAAAATGAGCCAGTTTCACCAAGCCTGGGCTTCTAGAGATAAAATCAGAAAATGTTTCATAAAAGGCAGGTGAAGGACACACGTTGTATTAACCGTGTTAACATTATATTTTGTTAACATTTTGTGTTAACAGGAGAAGAAAGAGGACTATTGAGGGCCAATTGCTCCCTTCTTAGGAAAGAGCGGCTCATCCAGGCAAAGTGACGTTGAGTAGCTACAGCTGGCGGAGCAGTTGGGTACATTAGTTAATGATTAAATTAAATACCTGACACATATTAAGGACAAGACAGTCTTACCTTCTCCCCATATTAGATCCCCACAAAGTAGTGACCATAGTCTTATTTTATAGATTAAAAAAAGCTAAGTGACAGCATGTGAGTAGTTAAGGGCTTTACTTTTTTTCTTTTTTCCAAAAAGAAAAAAAAAAGAAGAAAAGTTTCTTGATTTTAACGAGAGGGAGAGAGACGACATTGATGTGAGAGGGTAACGTAGATAGGCTGCCTCCTGCACCCCCCTGATGGACGGAAGATGGGACTATACCTATCCAACTGAGGCACTCTGCCCTGGGCAAGAATTTTACTTTCTGAATTTGTAAGGGGGGACTTCAAGGCCTTGAAGATCAGAATTCTGGTTTAAACAGTATATATCATACTAACAGTGATACCAACATTACAGGTTAAAGTTTCTACAATGCGAATGGATGTTCATTATTGTATCAAATCTTCCTGTCACCGGCCATGCGTCGGTTGTTATCCTCTGATATTTAGGAAAACAGGCTGAGGCAGATTAAATTAAATGATTCCGTCATTAGTGATGTTTCTCTCTCTTTCCCCCTTTCTTTTCCCCCTGAAATTAATAAAAGCTTATTTTAAAATAACAACAACTACCATGAACTGAACTCTCTCTGTGCCAGGAATTGTGCTAGGTGCTTTTCACCATGTTCTCAGTAAATTCTCATAACCCTTTAGGTAGCTGTCATTAGCTCCACTTTACAGAGAAGGAAACAGGACTCAGAAGGACAGTGACCACCCAAGGCCCTACAGCCAATCAGTGTCAAAACTGGGGTCTGAGCTCCAAGTCTCATCATCCCAAACACAAGTGTGAGGTCAACGCACAGCTTGTCTCCCTGCCGTGGACCCTTTCAGAATCCTCCTTCTTTTAGGTAATACAATCCCAAACCTCTGGCTCTTTGCCCCTTGAGTGTGGCTCTTCCACAAAATACCACGGCCTGGGAGAGTCTACGTTGAAGAAGTGGCGTTAGAAGAAGTTAAAGTTTAAAAAATTTGGCTCTCAAAAGAAATTTCAATTGTTGCACTGTTGATATTTGGCTCCGTTGACTAATGAGTTTGCCGACCACTGACCTAGACCAAGGTCCTAAACTTTAGGGGAAGAAGGAATAATAGCAGAATGAATATTTACAGAGTGTTTGTTATGTAAACAGTTGTAAACAGTTTTCTTTAGCATGTTAACTCATTTCATCCTCACAACATTAAGAAGTGTAGACGTGGGTGTGATTTTCCTTTTACAAATGAGGAAAGTGAGGCACAAAGAGGTTAAGAAACTTGCCCAAGGCCGTTGAGCTGGTAAATGAGGAAGATAAAAGTCCACCCTGAGCCCTAACCGGTTTGGCTCAGTGAATAGAGCGTCAGACAGGTTCAATTCCGGTCAAGGGCATGTACCTTAGTTGCGGGCACATTCCCAGAAGGTGTGCAGGAGGCAGCTGGTCGATGTTTCTAACTCTCTATCCCTCTCCCTTCCTCTCCGTAAAAAAAATCAATAAAAAATACATATTTTTTAAATGTCCACCCTGAAAAAAAGAAGTCCACCCTGAGCTCTGGAGTCTGCGTTCTTAACTCCTAGGTGGAATGGGGAGATCAGGAGATCCTCATGGGCCAGAAGAGGCAGACTAAGCTAGGATGAGGGGCCAGGAGGCCTGAGAAAAACAGACCTACCTAGTTATTGTGCCTGGGAGCAGAGGCCAACCCAGCCAGCCCCCGCCCCCTAGGGCCCACCGCACCCACTAGGGGGCAGCAGAACGTTCTTTCCCTGGCAACTGGCTCCCTTGCTGGAAGAAACCAGAGCCTGGGCCCAGAAACCTGGCCCAGCCAGAGTTCTCCAGGTATGAGCAGGGCGGCACTGGAGGCTGTGGCAGTTCGGGGCTGGAATGGGGAAACCCAACTCATGTTCTCACATAAAGCTCCTCCCTTTAAACCTGCCTCACCCTCAGGATAAATCCCAAATGCCCTACCCGCCTGCCACACACCCTAGGCTCATCCAGGCTTCTCCCAGTGCCCCACTCACCCCCTGAGCCACTGAGAGGCCCATTTCTTCTGCCTGGAGTCGTCACTCACCTCACCCCTCACTCGCACTGGTCTCAGATAAGCCATCTCTCTACTTTGAGACCTTGGCCAGTCGCCAAAATATCAAGCTTCCTGTGCCTCAGTTTCCTCACCTTTAAAAAGGGACAAATACTAACTATGTTATAGAACTGAGGTGCTTAAAACCGTGTTTGGAGAATAGTAAATGCTACCAAGAGTCAGGGGTCTCTGTTGCCTAACCTGGCCCCTCCCCCACCACGTCTGCATTAGGTTCCCAGCTCTGGGCTTCTCCCCCCTGGTGGCTGCTCTCATCTCATAGGACAGGAGCTGCCGGGGGCAGGACCCACGGCTTCTATCTACTGGAGGCTGAGCCAGAATCAGGTTAGGGATCAGGGTGTGGGACACGTACCTCCTTGTTGTCCACGGGGATCTTGAGTTTCACCACCTCATACTTCTTCTCACCCTCCTCCTCCTCATCCTTCACCAGCAGCACCATCTCCTCTTGCATCTCCTCCTCCTCCACCTCCACCTTCAGCGTCTGCTGTTCGCCAGGCATCTTGGTGTCCTAGGGCGGGCAGCTGGGTCAGAAGCTCAGGACCCACCCCGCACCCCGGCCCTGGCCCTGGTGCAGCCGTGGCTTCTCCAGCCCGACCCTGGGGTCTGGCCCTCTCCTCCCACCCCAGCTCGGCCCTAGGCACCAGCACTTGCCCGCGACCAGCTCCGAAGACACTCGTTCACCCCACTCATCCCGGCATTCAAGGCCCAGCACAGTTCGAATCTCCAGTGCCAACGAGTCGCCACCCTCCCGCGCTGAGTCACTGCCGGGCGCCTGGGTCGGCGGCCCGGAACTCCAGGGCACGGGCGGGAGGCGGGATCGGGGCGGAGACCCTGAGGGGGCGCACTCACCGGCCGCGGGCTCAGCGCGCACGCAGCCCCGGGCCAGCGCTCCCGGCGGTTGGGCGTTCGCGAAGCGTCGGGGGCGGGGCCTCGGGGACGTCCGGTCATTGGTCAGGACGGCTAGTCCCACCCCTAGGGGGCGGGACCCGGAGGGCCGGAGCGTCCGGTCCGAGCGGCCCCGGGAGGGTGGAGAGGCCAGAGCCTGTGGTTCCGCCGTTCCCCGGCTCCCAGGGCCCCGGCCGCTGCACCCCGACTTCCCAGGGCCTCGCGGTCCGGTTCTGACCCACCTTCACGGCGTCTGTCCTGGGCGCGGCTCGGAGGTCGCCGCCGCGGCCGAGCACGTCCGCTCCGCCCAGAAGAGGCCACGTGCGCTCCGGCCGGGCCTGGGCCTCTCGCGGCCGCCCCGCCTGGAGGGCGGACCCAGTTTCCTCCTCACAGCTTCCCTTTTCCTGTTTCTCCCCCTTTGCCTTCTTTTCTCCTTCCCCAGCGACGCCGTTCCGGTCTCGCGGACTCCGCATTGCTAGCTGCTTGAATACGCGCTTACCAGTCTACGCCCACAAAATACCGCGGCCTGTCCCTGTGGTGTGCCTACGAGGCGCTGGGGTTATGCTGCGCGTGTCACACAACTGATCTCTTAAAAAACTAAATGTAGCCCTAACCGGTTTGGCTCAGTGGATAGAGCGTCGGTCTGCGGACTGAAAAGTCCCAGATTCGATTCCTGTCCAGGGCATGTACCTAACCATCCCTCTCCCTTCCTCTCTGTAAAAAACCAATAAAATATATTTAAAAAGAACCAGCACTAAAAAAATAATAATAAAATAAAATAAATGTATTGGGGTAAAATATCGCCGCCCAAAGTCTGGTCTCCTTTGGACACCGTGTATTTGATCGCCTTTATCCACTTCCCTCTCCCCCCACTACCTTCCCTGGTCTTGTATGAGTTTGTTGATCTCTTTTTATCTACCCAAAGGCGGGTCCATTTTTACGAATGGGCTAGTGAAAGTTCTGGGAAATAAACTGATTTGCCTAAGTTATATAGTAAAGGTTCTCATGTTGGTACCCTAACCCCACAACCCGGGAGCCTAAGTGGCAAATGGGTAGCTCACAGGCCCAATCCAGTGCACAGTAGTACTTTTGACCCTTAGGGTGTTTTCACATTTAAAAATTAGCTTAAAAATAAAAGTTTTTACAGTTTTTTTATTTCTAACATTTCAGAATTTGGATTTTTCATTTAAAGGTTCTGTATATTTCCAATTCTCTTGAAAAAGAGATCTAATTCTTCATTTTATGGGTGGGGCAACTAAGGATCAAAATTGATGAAAGTAGCCCTAACCGGTTTGGCTCAGTGGATAGAGCTCCGCCTGTGAGTCTGGTCAAGGGCATGTAAACTTGGTTTGAGGCACATCCCCAGTAGGAGATGTGCAGGAGGCAGCTGATAGATGTTTCTGACTCTATTCCTCTCACTTCCTCTCTGTAAAAAAAATCGATAAAATAAAAATTTTCTAAAAAATTAATGAAAGTAAAGAGAAATAAATCAGTATATGTTTAAAATGCTATCTTGCCTCTTTACAACAGCTCTGTGTGTGGATCACTAGCTCCCTTTGACAAATGAAGAAACTAAATGTTAGAAAACTTATTTGTTCCAAGTCACACAGCTGGTAAGTAGCAGATTCCAAAGCTCATGTTCTTTCTATTGCTCCAAACTATCAGAAATGAAGTTACACAAGGAAATTGGTAGCAGACCCAGGACTGCAACCCGAGCCTCAGGCCGCAGAGCCCAGGGCATAATTTGGATGTTGGGGTTAAATCTGGTAGAATATTTGTGCCTCCCCAAATGTAGGCAAAGGTGTTAAATGGCTGAATACTCACACTCAAGATCCCCAAAGCCAGTTTGATTGTGTTCATTCTCTCAAGTATTCAGTGAGCCCTACTATGTGCCTGACACCAGTCTAGGTATTGGAGTTGCAGTAGTGAACAAAGCAACAAAAATCTTCTAAGGGTGTAAAAAATATGAACAATAATCAAGAGGATTTCAGATGATGATAGGTAGGAGAAGATGGGATGGGGAGTGGTGTGGTTGGGGGCTTCTTGAATGGGCAGGGAAGGCATCTCTGAGGAAATATTCAAGATGCCTTGAATGACGAGAAAGCGTTAGCCATTTGAAACTCTGGAGGAAGAGTGTCTAAAGAGAACTACGGCCTGGCTGACGTGGCTCAGTGGTTGAGCGTCAACCTATGAACCAGGTGGTCATGGTTCAATTCCGGGTCAAGGTATGTGTCCAGGTTCGGGGCTCAATCCCCAGTGTGTGGTGTGCAGAAAGCAACCGATTAATGATTTTCTCTCATAATTGATGTTACTATCTCTCTCTCCCTCTCCTTTTCTCTCTGAAATCAATAATAACAATAAGCCCTAACCAGTTTGGCTCAGTGGATAGAGCATCGGCCTGCGAACTGAAGGGTCCCAGGTTTGATTCCAGTCAAGGGCATGTACCTTGGTTGCGGGCACGTACCCAGTGGGGAGGGTGCAGGAGGGGCTGATAGATGTTTCTCTCTCATTGATGTTCCTGGCTCTCTATCCCTTTCACTTCCTCTCTGTAAAAAATCAATAAAAATATTTAATATAATAAGAATAAGAGTGTGAGAGAGAATTACAGAGGCGTTAAGGTAGGAATGAGTTTGGCCTATTTGAGAAACAGAAGGCTATGTGGCTGGAGCCAAGTAAATTAAGAGGGAAATGTGGTGTGGAGGATGGAAGTGGGTTAGGCAGGGACCGGTTATGGCTGGAACCCCACCTCTAAAGAGGCCAGGCCTGCTTGCCCTGATTCAGAGTCAGTGAGGAGACTGGGCTGGGAGCACTGAAAGTTCCTTCTAGAAGGGCTTCTGCTATGGAAGGACTAAGGAATAGTCCTTTGAAAAGGACATCCATTTGCTCTGCAAACATGGACAAGTATCTACCTAGAAATGGAACTAGTTCTTGTTCTTGAGAATCTCATAGTCTAGTAAAGAAGATTGTGATGAAAATGCACAGGGGTATATATAAATTGATTACATATGAAAAGGAAACAATAGTTGTCTGGCAGATAGAGAGGTGAATGGGTAGCTGTTGAAGGGAGTGGGTACGGGCCTCACTGAGGAGACAAATGTGAAAGGACCCTCAAAGGTGAGTGGGAATTTGCCAGGTTAACAAAGAGCTAGCAGCTTGGGAGATGGTCCAAGGACACTTCACCGAAGTATTTAGTGAGTCCTATTGTGTGCCTGGCCCCTTTGCGGACTGGGAGGTAGAAAGTTGAATTAGGGAAAATCTTTATCTTCCTCCTTACTCTGCATGTCACACAGTATTTGTCTTCAGCCTCACTAGAACTTCAGGTCTTTTTTTTTTTTTTTTAATCTATTTTTATTGATTTCAGAGAGGAAGGGAGAAGGAGAGAAAAACAACAAAGAGGAGAGAAAATCATTGACTGGTTGCCTCCTGCATGTCCCCCACAGGGGGATTGAGTCCGAATCTTAGGCATGTGCCCTGGACTGGATTCGAACCCCAGGACACATCAGTCCACAGGCCATCGCTCTGTCCACTGAGCCAAACCAGCTAGGGCTCTCTTCTTTGGAGAGGTCTCTGGATCACACAGAATTCTCTGCTGCATGTGTGCTTCTAGCATAGTCCTTACCACACTTGAAACCACCTGTTCAATCTTTTGTGTAGAAACAGGAGAGACTTGATCTTATTCTTGCTTTTATCCCCAGGAACCAGCACATTCTAGGACATGCTGTTGAGTGACTATCCTCAGGAAGCTCTAGATGAGTTAAGTGCTCAGATGAAGGGGATTCTAACTCAGGTTGGAGATGAAAGGAAGGATTCTGGGAGGTAGTAATGCTCCAAGTGTTTGGACTGGAGAGGTTAACTAGTGTGTGTGGTGGGGTTGGGGGTGGGGAGGGATATCAATAAAAGGAAACAAAATTTAAAGGCAAAGGGCTGAAACCACACAAGTGGAAGGCCTTTAAGTGCTAACTAAGGAGTTCTGTTTTATAGGAGACATGCAAAGATAGGCAGGGTTTTTAATTGGGGAATGACATCAGGTATAATTTCACAAATCACTGCAGATGGGTTTCAGGGCCGATCTGCCAAGGAGGGAGAGAGGAAAACCAGCAAGGAGCACCTTCCAAAGCCCCAAAGGCCTCCAGATAGGCCTATGGGTTTGTGTGCCAAAGCCTCCAAGGATCCCAGGCCTGAATGCACAGCTCTAAGGTTGTGAGTGTGCGTAACAACTTGGCGGAAGGTGAGAGGGGTTGCAGAGGAGGCGGTGGGGCGGGGAGACTGCACTGTAACAATTTTTTTTTTTTTTTTTTATCAGTTTCTAGGCAAAGCCTGTCCAACTATTGTGATCTGTTGAGAGCTTCTATCTGGGAACCACTCCCACATGCAGATGAGCAGAGTCAACCAACCAGTGAAGCAGTGAAAGTCTGCTTCATTTCTTAGGTGGGTGATTGCCTTGGTCTTTTTTGTCCCTGGCCAGTCATACCTGTTCCTCTCACCCCTTCCTCCCTGCGGACACCCTCCTTGTAAAAGGCTAGAAATTGGAGTCAGCTCCTAACCCATGGGACGTCTGCCTTTTCCAGAGGATAAAGAGACATCCCCTTTCAGCCAAATGATCTATTTCTTTCTTTTTAAAAAAATATATATATATTTTATTGATTTTTTACAGAGAGGAAGGGAGAGAGATAGAGAGCTAGAAATGTCGATGAGAGAGAAACATCGACCAGCTGCCTCTTGCACACCCCCTACCGGGGATGTGCCCGCAACCAATGTACATGCCCTTGACCAGAATCGAACCCGGGACCTTTCAGTCCGCAGACCGACGCTCTACCACTGAGCCAAACCGGTTTCAGCTATGATCTATTTCTTGACAAATATAAAAAAAAATACTCAAGGAGGCGGGCTTTCCAGTAGGCACAGCATCAGTGATGGGCCTTCTATGTCTGTACTTGAGCGGCTGGCCACAATTCTCCCTTACTTGTGCTGAACTTTAGGTAAATGGCATCATAGTTTATGTATTATTCTGTAACTTGCTTCTAATTTTTTTCTTGCAAAACACCTCAAATTTCACTCACACA